TTGTTATTATATTTATTTTTTATTTCAGCATATTACAGGGGTACAAACGTTTAGGTTACATATATTGCCTTTGCCCCACCCGAGTCAGAGCTTAAACCGTGTCCATCTCCCAGACAGTACACACCTCACCCATTAGGTGTGAATATATCCATCCCCTCTACCTGCCTGACACCCGATGAATGTTACTACTATATGTGCACGTAAGTGTTGATCAGTTAATACCAATTTGATGGTGAGTACATGTGGTGCTTGTTTCTCCATTGTTGTGATACTTCACTTAGTAGAATGGGCTCCAGTTCTATCCAGGATAATACAAGAGGTACTAAATTACCATTGTTTTTTGTGGCTGAGTGGAACTCCATGGTATACATATACCACATTTTATTAATCCACTCAGGTATTGATGGGCACTTGGGTTGTTTCCACATCTTTGCAATTGTGAATTGTGCTGCTTGGGCTCATATTATATTTCTATTGAACAGCACTGATCTAGAATAAAAAAATTAAGAGCCAAGTAGTAGAGAGAAGGAAGGAAGAGGCTTAGAGGATAAAAATGAATTATGCCAGAAAGCAAGAAACCACAATCAGACTTAAAACTTGGCTATTAGTGTCCTGGCAGCCAAAGCAGACAGAACAAAGTCCCATAGTTAACATCTAACCAAAGAAAGCACAGGATGCATCAGGGAGAACAGCTTTTTCCTAGCTCTGAGGAGCCTCTCTATCGGAGGTGTGCTGAATACTACCACAAGCATGTCCCTGAATATGGTGTGTTCTTTTCACCCTTTTTATACTGAGCCTTGAAAAAAGACTTTGGAGAACAGGACAAAGGTTAGGTAGTATAATCCCTGTCAGTAGCTCCTTGGCAATTGGACAAATACATAATTTTGGTCATAATGCTTTGAGATTAAAAGAAAAAGGAGAAAATAAGCTGTAACTCACAGGCAGCAAGACCAGTTTGTTGCAGGTGTGTACAGCACTGGGGAAGGCTACCCAGAGACAGAGCTTCCCAAACTGCCCTGCAAACTAGGCTGTAGTTACATCGAGGAGGCAACTGGGTTATAAAGAGCTATTTTCCAAACACTTGTGGTTTCCTGTTAATTACTAAAAAAGACATTGTGGATACACACTACTTTACTTTTTTTTTTTTTTTCCAAGGAGAAGGAAAGAGAAGTTTATTAATTTGCCAGCAAATGAGGAGGCTGGCAGACTCCTGTCTCAAAGTACCAATGTCTGTTTTCACCTCATTTACTTATTTACATCCACATTCTTAATACCATAAATGACATTCTCTTTACATGTACATCCTTGAGGGCAGGAGGAAATGTAATTCAAAAGTACTGACTCTCCATCTAGAAAATTCCAGGGTAGGAAAGAACAGGAAAGACCAGTAGGTATGGTGTCAGGCACACAGTAAGTACCTGACCCATATTAATGGTAACTGCAGCTGTTCCAAAGGAGGCCATAAAATACTGAAGATATCTCCAACCCTCTCTGCATAAATGAAGTCTGTATCAGTAGATTTAACCCAGAGAATAGCTCAAGCACTGAGGATCAAGTCTGAGTGAACCAGGTTAAATTTCCCAGGACTAAGAAATAGAAAAGCATTCATCTTGTAACCTTTGATTTCTGGCTTTGGCACCTCCTCAGAAATAGCTACAACACCAAGCAGGTTCTAGGTGGTCGGTGAATAAATTCATCCCAGACCTCCTTTTCTCCAAGCAACTCTCCTTATTGTCCTACACCTATAATAAATAAATGATGTAATGGCAGCAACTACAACACGCACCAAGCTCAAATGTGATGAGAGAAGACAGCTTCTCATTATCTCTAGCCCTCATGTTCACATCTGAGCCAGCATGAAAGATGGATACCAGGGTGAGTACTTCCTGTTTGGTCAGCAGGTCCCAAGAGACATGAGAATGTGCACCTAGTGATTTCGGCTCCTAGTCCCACACTCCCTGCTTTCCACTCTCCCCTGTGCTCACCACTGTTGAATTCCTGCTTGAAATTCACTCCTATATTCATCCATCCACAGCCATAGCAATGCAAGCCCCTGATAACAAGCCGAACATACTGGAGTCGAGATGGGGACTTCACTGTGCCTGGCCACAGTGAGTCGGGTAGTCTCTTTCTTCCTGCCTTGGCACTGCCTGTCTAGACTGCCTCAGCCTCCCAAGTAGCTGTGACTACAGGTGCGTGCCACCAAGCCTGGTTAATTTTTTCTATTTTTAGTAGAGACAGGGTCTCACTCTTGCTCAGGCTGGTCTCGAACTTTCTGCCTCGGCCTCCCAGAGTGCTAGGATTACAGGCATGAGCCACTGTGCCTGGCCATGTACTGCTTTTTTTTTTAAAAAACCTCACTTTTAGAAAAGTGTTGTCTACGGCCGAGTCTAGTGGCTCACGCCTGTAATCCTAGCATTCTGGGAGGCTGAGGCAAGAGGATCGCTTGAGCTCAGGAGTTCGAGACCAGCTTGAGCAAGGGCAAGACCCTGCCTGTACTAAAAATAGAAAAAATTAACTGGGAATGGTGGCATGCGCCTGTAGTCCCAGCTACTTGGGAGGCTGAGGAAGGAAGATCACTTGAGCCCAGGAGTTTGAGGTTGCAGTGAGCTCTGGTAACATCACGGCACTCTACCGGGGATGACAGAGCAAGACTTTGTCTCGAAAAAAAAAAGAAAAGAAAAGAAAGTGTTGTCTGCTTTGGGTGTATGGAATAAAGCATTCCTACTCAAAGTGTGATCTGTGGACCAGCAGCATTGGCAGCACTTAGGGAAATGTTAGAATTTGCATTTTAACAATATCCAAGGCGATTTCCATGCATGCCAAGTTTGAGAAGCAGTGGTATATAAAGCACCACTTAAGTTGGATAACCAGTGAGAACGACATCCTTTGGGGGAAGAATTTTTTCCTTTCCCCAAGAGAAGGGATCTTGCGACATTGCCCAGGCTAGTCTTGAACTCCTGAGCTCATGCAATCCTCTGTCCTCAGTTGCCTGAGCAGCCAGGACTACAGGCGCCCAGCTGGGGGAAGAATTTTTTAATGTGGAGACTCTTTCTAGGATAGAGCCTGGTCCAGGAGAGGAAAGGTACAGTGTGAGGTTGGTGCCGGCTCAGAACATACGCTGTCTCCAAACTCTCACTGCTCTACGCACTGTCTGGGAAAGGTTTTCGGAATTTGGAGTCAGGAGTACTTAATCTATTTTTTGTTTTTATGAAGCAGACCTTGGTTAATTATAAAATCTCTATAATTAGGAAATGCAGCATTTCAGTGGTAACTTATACACATGGCACTGAGAGTAATCAAAAGGTCAAGTTACTGCTGGTGATAGTATACAGTGGTTTCCTAGTATTAATGGGGATATGAAAAAAAAGCGTACAACCACCCTGGAGAGCAATTTGGCAAGTATCTAATAATATTGAAGATGCATCTACTCTTTCATTTAGCGGTTCCATTCCTGAGTAAACCTAGAACAGCACAGTGCTTCTCAAACTTTGATGTACATATAAATCACCCTGGGTGTCTTATTAAAACAGATTCTGACTGAGTGGGCCCGGGGCAGGACCTGGGATTCTTATTTTCTAACAAGCTCCCAGGTAATATCCCCCAGGTGGTATCATTGCTGTTGGTCCAGGGGCCAACTTCAAATACCAAGGCCCAAGAGAAACCCTTGAACATACATACTCAAGGGATACACACGGATTTTCATTAGAGCCCTGATGGTATTAATGATCATCTGAAAATGACTTAGGGGTATGGATGGCTGATCATCTGAAAATGACTTAGGGGTATGGATGGCTAAATT